TTGAATATGGTTGCCCTCAAGGAAACCACTCGTGGGGCTGATATCAAGCTCGCTTTGTTAACATTGTTGGAAAGGCTCGGTTCGACGTTCTTCTGCAGAAACTTGCCGCAATTGCAACAGATGGTGCACCTGCCACGGTTGGCAAGAGTGCAGGCTTACTAAGTCTTCTGTGGAGTGAGCCCCGCATTCCGGATCTTCTTTTTATACTCTGCATTATCCATCGCGAGCCCATGGCGGCGAAGCAACTCCCACCAACGATGATTCTATGAAGACCAGTGTTGTACACGCTCCTCAAAAAAAAGAAGAAGAAAGGAACAAAAAATTGTTCCTCGTTTTTTCTGATTTTTTGGAACGCGTTCCCGTTACACGTTCTATGTGTAAAAAAAGGAACTCATTCCCGTTACAGTTAAAAAAAATGGAGCGTATCGTTACATTTGTATTTGCGGATTACCATATTTATGTAGATCAAGGAAAGTTTATATATATATATCCTATTAAATGGGAACATGTGAATTGCAATGCCGTGATGAAAAGCACCAGGATAAGAAAACAAGCAGAAGCAGGGTTTCATTGGTTGATAAATTCAGCTTTTAACCATATTCATGTTTGCGATGGGCGATTCAGCCGAGCCAAATGTATTGTTACCCCACATCGCACGAGCGTTTTGCGACAACCTCACACGTTTTGATGAAACGAAGTTCCTTGTTCTAACCTAACAACAGTTGCCTTTCTATGTTGCTGTCCGCAAGACGAGCAGGTGAAGAAGAGGGTAGTGCTTTTGGAAGGTCAGTCTTGATAACAACCAAACCGTTCTTCGTGAAGGTTTCATTCGTTGTTCAGTTTGAAGGAGGGGGACAAGGGGAGAAGGAATCAAGGTTAATTTCTATGTATCGTTTAATTTACCACTGTTTTGGATACGACGGTGTGCTCGATGTCTGGTAACCTGTTCTGTTGCTGCAACTGTAGTTCTATTTGTGGAAGTTTAGTGATGACTGTAGTCAGCCTTGGATTTCTGGGTGTATCAGGAATCGCGGAAGCAAACAAAGTAGTTCTAAACGCCACTCCTTCTGCGTTTTTTCCTTTGACTCAGAGTTCTGGTTTTTGTACCGCAATCTCGGACACTAAAAAAAGAATCAATGTCCACTACCTCCTGCTGCAACCGACTGTTGCGAAGCGAGGACCACACAAAATAAACCATAAGATAAGTAACCAAAAAGTTGACGAGATCCTGCTTTTCGTAAAGTTCTTGTTTTTATACTTTTAGATTTTCCCTCTTAGAATTATAATGCAAATTACCCCACTGGACGAAAAAAAGAAACGCTGTTCCTTTCTCCGTTTTAGTAAAAATGTAACGAGTTCCCGCTCCAGTTCCACCAAATCAAAGTTTAACGGCGGCGTTCCTTCGTCCCTCTAAAAGGAACGCTATCCAGGAACGCCGTTCCGTAGAACATTAATGAAGACCGTCCTTCGGGTCGTCAACTACAAACGATAATTGCAAAAAATCAGTGGTGATTTCGCAACCTGACTAAAGAACTCGAACTTGATAATGCGCCCAAAGACTTGTCTGTGTATGTGTGTGTGCGTGGGGGGGGGGGGGGGGGGTATTTGTTGTTGTTTGTGCGGTTCGTTGGCTGTCCGTGAGCAACGTGCTAACAAAGTTTGTAAACCTTATGAAGCCGATTCAATTTTTTTTAGAGGAGAAAGAGAGGTCATGTCTCAAGCACCGGCGTAGAGCAGCACCTCCAAACTTTGAATATTTCGCAAGTGCAAAGAGAAATGGTATCGGAAACAGTATTAACGTTTCAAAACAAGTTAAGACTTTTCTAAAAAGATATGCAAACAAGCCGTTTTATCCATTTTCCGCAGCTGACGACTATGCTGGATGCTAATCCTGAATTTGATCGGACCGAAGTTAAGCTTGGGAAATACATCGCCAAGCTTGAGGAGTTCGAAAGTGACTTCCAATTTCGGTTTAAAGGTATAAAAAGACTTTAAACCATGTTTAGCGCTTCTAACTAATCCCTTTATGGTCGATGTGGTGAGTGGCGTTTCTCCAACCATGGAAAGCTTTGTCGGTGGTTGTTGGAGCGTTCAAAGTGGAGCTCCTGGAGCTCCAAGAAGACGAAGGACTGAAGATGGTCATGCGATCTGCGGAGACGGTTGAATTCTGGCGGCAGGTGCCGGAAGCAAGCTATTATTTCTACGTCAAGCATGTGGGCCAGAAACGTTTCTCAATGTTTGGATCTTACTGTTGTAAGGCACTGTTATCAAGAATGAAAGCGGCGAAGTCAAAACGGCGTGCGACCCTTAACGACGAACGTATGAGTTGCTTCGGACTGCAACCACGTCATTCGAGTCAGACTTCAAGGTGCTTGCTTTAAGAAGGGGGGGAAGCGCAATGTAGAGGCACAACCAGGAATTGCTGCATGACTGGCGTCCAACATGATCACAAGCTTTATCGGACGGAACAAAAATAATAAAAAACTTGCCACGCTCCTTTTTTGTTGCAGTTCCTAAACAAAAGGGGTATTTTTAATGATTTCTCAGATGCCTGTCTGGCCACCCCTGATAAAATATTTCAGGTTTCATTTAATGCCTAAAAAACGTTTTGAACCCCCCCGCCCCCCCCCCCCCCCCCCCCCCCCCCCGTTATCTGCCTTTCCTCTTTAATGCTGCTTTTGTAAGCTTATTTTTCGCTTTTAGGCCGGGTCAGCCTGGCCACCCTTGGTTTATAAATACATTTCCCGAATACCGAGATTTTGTTATCCACAGACCGGAGAAAACAAGCGCACATCTTTGCACCGCCACCACATGGAGCGTCGGTGCTTGGCGGCATTAAAAATAATTTTCCTTTCCTGCAGTACGCAAGAACAGCAATACCATTGTAATATATCCGTGGAGATAAGCATGATTGATAAGAAAGCCAAGGACGCTAATATTGACGAGGAGTGTTTTCAGTACGATGATGCTTCATAGCGATCTTGGCGCTACTTGTCCAGAACGTACCCTTTCAAAGCTTTAAAGACTTGAATATACCGAAATGGCGATTGCCATGCGACAGAGCCCGATCAGCTAATCACATTGCGAGGTTTGCTTGTCTGTATGTAAGTATACATTTGTGTCCGGCCGGCATGCAGTTTAGGCAATGTGCAACTTTCCTAGGGTCCGGTGACTTCAGTCAAAGATACAGAAGCGCGTGCTCGAATGCCGCTTAATTCTGTACTCGCGCATTTATCTTCTCGAAAAAAAAAAAAAAAAAAGAAAAGAAAACAGAAGAAGTTTAATCGGGATTTTTCTTGGTTTATTCGGAGCGGTTTCGGAGCGCTTTTTTTGTTGGTACCTTTTTGGGTGTGCAAGCGCGCGCTTGCATGCTCGGATGGCGCGGACATGGAGTGCTTTTGAATCGCTCTAAACACGGTGCTCCAAACCCACCAAGAAGTTTCCACAACATAAAAAGTTTACTATACAGTCGCATCTCTTTAATACGGACCCCTTTACTGTGTGTACCCCGCTGTATAGACAACATGTCCGGGGAACTAATTGGGTAAATACATAAATTTTTTGTCTCTGTACTATGGACGACTCAAATTAAGGGTGCGTCTTGGGGAGGACGTACGTGTTCATATCAACGAGACATCACTGTAGTCTGCTCCTTTCTAAGCTGAGAGTGCGGTGGGAGACACGCGCTCGCTGAAACATTCAACCGCCTGCATTTCATCACCTGACACCTCTATGCCAGTGGGTGTGGGTGAGAGCGTGATTGCCTGTCGCGAGAGCGACGCATGACTAATCCACCGAGCACCTATACACCGTTTCAGTGCTCACAAATCAAAAGCCCAGCGTGCGATTTTCACAGCCCAGCACGGACATGTTGGTAACTTCGCAAAGCGAGCAAATCACCTGCCCCGAACCCACGACCGCTGAAAATAAAAACGACCAAAACCCTTTTCTGGAATGGTATATAACTTCTACGGTACAACCAACTTCGCAGTGAACGGTGTATATCGATATTTTTGTTAGGGCGCCGCCATCTTGAGAATCGCGGTGCCGATTGACGCCGTCTAGCAGATTAAAACTTCAAATACCAGCTTGCTTTGGCAGCACAGCTATCTGCGTAGGCTACGGTGAAGGTAGGGGGGAAAGGGGGGGGGGGGGCGGGGGAGGCTTGGTTAGGCTAGGTTATTGTGGGCTGCAATAACGTAGCTGGAACTTGGCTGATAGTTGCATCGAGCTGGCTAATGCCCTGCCATTACCTTGACTCCTCGAAAGAACGAGGATGAAGACGGTTGTGTGTTTGAGTTTCCACGACGAGGCAATATATCAGCGGTTTAATCTGGTTTATGCGGGTAAGTTCTCGCTATTCGATAGCTGCATCTTTGAGCGGAGGTACATACACGTTTTCACACTTTTCACAACAGGGAGTGATAGCATACTTTCCAGTGATAGCCTAATCGGAGCACTGGCACCGTGTTAGAATCAGTCCGCTTGCCTTAGACAATATAGTCGTGAGAATGAACGTGACAATGAGTCTGATACAAAGCATTCGGGATTCAGGCTCGCAATCAACTAACTTCATAAATAAGGATCCTTGAGGAACATGTGAAGCTCAGTAACATTGCAGTTACATTGGCGCTTCAGCTTCTTGTTCTTGTCGCACACTTTCCGATGTTGTTCTCATGCTCGTTAATATTATTTGTGCACTCGTCGATAACGTAGTGGTAGCCATGGACAACCGATCTTCTTTTTTACCAGGGTAAAAAATAACACTTGGAACAAACTCACGCACAACGTCCGTCCCTAAGCCATTTCGCCCATACCTTTGGCGGTTGCATACCCTGTGCCAGCGGCCGTTCAAAAATGCGCTGAATCTAGGGTGCGTCATTTGCGTTCTGGTATGAGATTATACAAAAAGGTCTAGACAAATGCCCGAATCAGCTTCGCTCTCGGATTGTGGTTCATTAGATCACGCTTAAATGCGCCGTTTTCCGTCTCATTCGCAGCTTATATCCGGCCTGGCACTCAAGGTTCTCATCGTGCTCAGTCTTTTGTTGAGCATGAACAGCTTGGGCAACCACTTCTTCGACTGGTCCATCCTGCCAGCCTGGGCCCTCGATTCGACTGACAACGCTTCGAGCGTGGAAGAAGCTTAAGCGCCACGCTTTGAAAATTCCGCGCGTCGAGTCGGCCTATTGTTTATATCTTATTTATGTGTTAATTTACTGCCAAATAGTACTTTGGGCATACGCCAAGGGCGCAACGCTCATCCAGAACGAGGGTTTTATGAGAGTGCTATGTTACTTCTCGTATCTATTATGTTGCAACTCATATCTGAAACGGAATCTGAGATTTTGGCACAGTTAGTGATATAAAAGAGACTAGTTAAATTTGTTATTAATTCTGTAACATGATTGTCTAGCTTTATACTCCTCGACTAATAACAGGACATTGTTATTACATGAAAATATAAAATTACTACGCCGTCATGGTTTTGAACGTATTTGTTCCTTTAATTGTTTCGCTAACCTTTCTTCTTTTATTTTTTCTTTTTTTTCTTTTGCTTGGGGGCCAAATTTAAAGCCATGATCTGAAGAGCCCTCTGTGCCTGAAACGTTCAGCAGTGCATCTTAATAACATAACAAGCGATGACTAATACAATAAGATTAAGTGTTGAGAAGGCGACACAAAACGAACTAAGCCGCGCAAAGGCATGAAAATTAGACTCGCAGACAGGATTCAATGTAACCACTAACATTGCAAGACAACGGTTATGATGGCAGAAAATAAAAATTAGAAACAATATTGTACGCGTAGAATGATTGCGTAAAGCATCACAATTGCCTGCGAGAACAAATTCGAAAAAATTGTAAGGGTGCAGGCGAGCTGGTGGAAGTTAACCATAGTTTTGTTTAACCCGAGACTGGGGTATTTCGGAAAAGGGACTACACAAAGTAGCCTCCGACTACTTTGTGTAGTCGGAGGCTTATCTTGTCCTTCTGTCTGGCTGAAAGATTTTTCTTTTGTAATGGTTTGGGCCTATGCTTGGCTTAGTGTATTCCGGGTGTTATGTTGTCATTGGTCGACTTGGTTGGTGGTGTGTGGACGTGGTGTGTATAGAAGTGCATGCGATGGAATAAAATCCTTAGCTGTGTTTGAGACGTCGCCTCCTTGTGGCCTCTTTTCTTCTCGTCCCTTTTCCGAAATACCCCAGTCTCGGGGTAAACAAAACTATGGTTAACAAATTCGAGTTCATTTACTTTACCGCGTACGTGTGTCACAGCGATAGCAGATCGGCGTTTGCGTTATCGGAATATCGTTGCAGCGCCGTCGTCGTTTCTGTGCCGCCTACTGCGCACGAGTCTCAATATTTTTACTCCATTTTCGCTTCCGCTTTCGACTTCGCTCCTGTGTCTCATCTCTACTTCGTCTCCGACGAGTCTCCTCAGTGCGCCGTAGCTGAAATTCGCATTTCTCCGGGCCCGCTACAGACTTCCGAGGCCTAGCTATACAGCGTGCAAGTTCCTCTGCTCGGATGGTCCTGCGCATACGCCTGGACAACTGGATGTTGACTATTAGTGACTCCAGCGACATTTAGGGGGTCGCCACTCTCGACAGGTATGGTGCCATGTGCATGCGTCAGCTGAGCGCGCAAAGCTGAGCTGTTAGCAGGCGACCATTGTCTTCCAAATGGTATGCCCTGATTTTTACCTACTACGTTCAAAACCTGCAGTGACATATCGGCGAGTTCGCTGTCGCAAGAGCTTCTAGAGGCTCTGCCTCCTTCAGGGAAATGGTGGAAAGACTACGTAGAACATGCCATTTTGTTTAAATGTGTTGTTCGTTATATTATTCATGCACCGTTCCAGCTTGTCTAGGACTGAACAACAATCAAAAAAGGTAACATGATTATTCACTACTGATTAATCGAATAATTATTGAAATAATCAATTGCGTTTACATTCAGGCAAAATATTAATATGTCAAACTATAAAAGGATCAAAACATCACAATTTCTGTCTATTTCTTGATTTGCATCAATGGCGAAACAACCAATCATTTAAGACACGCATCATCGTTCTTGAAACAGCCCGGGTAAATAAAATGGCTTCGCAGACCTTAAACACAAATGTGTTTAACTTTTGATATGTGAAATTCTCGTTCAATATGAACGCTGTGATGTAAAACAAAGGTTGAACTCATAGTAAACACAGTCGGGGCTCGAGCCGGGTTCGGGTTTAGTTCGGCGTGATTTATTCGGGCCCGGTTCGAGTTGTATTCATCTTGAAAAGAGCATTCGGGCTCGAGGCGGGTTCGTGCCAAATTTATTTCTGGTCGGGTCGGGCTCGGGCTTACGTTTAGAAAGCCTACCCGGGCTCGGGCCGGGTTCGGGCCAAGGCTTTATCGGGCCGGGGTGGGCCGGGCTTAAAACTCCGGCCCGATCTGATCTTCCAGCTACAGCCGTAGAAATAGACAAAAAAAAAAGACGTTTAGAATTTCCTGTAACGCCGAAGTAGAGTGCAGCTCTTGAGGAGGAGGAGGAGGAGGAGGAGGAGGAGGTGAGGGTACTGAGTGAAGGTATGCGCCTCCTCCTCATCCGTACCATCTCCTCCTCCTGTCCTCCTCCCTCCTCATCTCCTCCTCCTCCCTCCTCTCCTCCTCAATTCTCCTCCTACACTCTTCTCTTCTCCTCCCCCTCCTCCCTCCCTCTTCCCCTCCTTTCCTCTTCCTCCCTCCTCCTCCCCGCGCGTTGCATCATGGGACGTTTCCCATAACGCAACGCGTGACGTGAGGTCACGTGACCCCCGTGAGGTCACGTGACACTCGTAACGTCATGGGGCCCTCGTGACTCTCGGGAGGTCACGTGACCTTCGTGAAATCGCGTAACCCGCGTGATGTCACATAAGTTTCGGGACGTCACGTGACCCTCGTGAGGTCACGTGATATTCGTGACGTCACTCTTGACGTTATGAGACCCGCGCGCTGCATCATGGGACATTTCCCATAATGCACCGCGCGGTTATGCCGACGGCGATGACGACGCCGATGCCGCTCAAGCCGGAAACAGGCGCCTAAGAGCTGCGCTCTAAAAGACAGAAAGGGAAAGACGTTTACAACTCCCCGTAATGCCGAATCGGAGCGCAGCTTTTGAGAAGGCGGAGGGGAGGTGATGCCCCTTCTGCCCTCCCCTCCTTCTGTTCTGCGCCCTTCCCATTTAGCGGGAAATTTTCGCTACATTTCCCACAAAATTCAGCGGAAAAACTTCCCCGCTAAATTTAGCAGGAAAACTTTTCGGCTAAATATTAAAAAAAAAAAAAAATCCTCCGCTAAATTTAACGGAAATCTTTTTCGGCTAAATGGGAAAAATTTTCCGCTAAATTTAGCGGGGAAATTGCTCCGCTAAATTTAGCGGGGAATTTTTTCCGCGTAATTATAACGGTGAAATATTTCCGCTAAATTTAGCGGGCAAATTGTTCCAGCGGAAAAAATTCTCTCCTCCTCCTCCTCCTCCTCTCTCGTGACCCTCGTGACGTCACTCGCAACCCTCGTGACGTCACGTGTGACGTTATTATGGGAAGCCTCCCATGATGCAATGCGCGGTTACGCCGACGCCAACGGCGACGGGAGTGACTCGCAAAAATAAACCAACTCGTAATTAACTCCCCTGCAATTTTAGTAGCTACCTGTAAATTTCTTTAATAAAATAAACTGCCAGCGGCGAGTTATGCTAATAAAGCGTCCAGGTCATAATATCTTTTGTTTGTTTTTTAATTGCCAAACCGCCTCTCAGCAACAATATTTGACGAAGTTCAGAAAGCTGTGCTCTGTGACCTAATCAATATATTTTGTGATCTTTACATTACCATAAAGCTCCAATTAAGCTCTCTCTTTTGAGTGTAATTTGACTGTTTTGCGCTAAGATATAACGCGGAACATTTGGCTGAAAAACGAATATTTAAAAAAAAACTTGCTAGTTTGAAGTCGATTTTGTAAAAAAAAACACCTTTTATTTCTTTAATTTTTTATTCGCAGTTAGGTAATATAGTAGTCTGTCAGGAGCTACGAACAGAAATTGTAATATGTTGTTTTTATAGCCGCTATTAGGACTCGAATCTCGTGCTATGAGCGTTTTGAACGGAACTTCACATAGACGCTCAGCTGAGCAGAATTTTGACCTATGTAAGGTTTTCTATTTAATTTTAGTACGTACCTCAATATCTCAGCGTAACAGCCAGTGAAGCGAAAATATTTATCACAAAAATATTTATTTACTTGGCACTGGGGTGATTTGCAAGGTGTGTGAGCTTGGCCCTGTGTATTGACGGAGAAGGTACGTACCATCTAAACTCCCGGACCAACTTAAGTCAAGAGGGAAAAGTCTAAGTAACCCGTCATGAATCACTGAAAATAGAGACGAAACATAAACACATGACTAACTTATTTGAGACCTTACACGCTACGAAATGCTCGTTATTTTACGAAAGAGTTCGTATGTGCACAAAATAAACCTTACTTCCTAAGCGTCAGATACTAAATCGTACATATGTATATGCACTAAATATCTATTTGACATAAGAAAATAGGACAATTACATATCAAGTTCGGTATTTCGAACTCAAAGACGAAAGCAAAAGGCGCTAAAGAAATTATCTACCGGTCTGCATTCCGCTGAATTGGGAGGAAGTAAACGCTGTGCCCGCACTTGTGGATACGGACTTCTAAACTTTTTTTAAGTGCACTACGCCAAATTTCATGAATGTTTATGGTTGTATATTGAGATAGCTGCTAACGATAAATAGAAAAACCTTACATAGGCCAAAATTCTGCCCAGCAGAGCGTCTGTGCGAAGTCCCGTTCAAAACGCTCATAGCACGAGATTCGAGTTTTAATAGCGGCCATACAAACAATATATTACAATTTCTGTTGGTAGTTCCTGTTAGACTACTATATTACCTAACTCTAAATAAAAAAAAAACAGAAAAACAAAAGGTGTTTGTTTTTTAAAAAACCGACTCCAAACTTGCTAGTTTTTTTAAATATTAGTTTTTTCAGGCACATGTTGCGCATTATATACTTATCGCAAAATATTCAGATTATACTAAAAACAAGAACCTAATTGGAGCTTTACGGTAATGTAAAGATCATAAACATATGT